CCTGATAACCTTCAATGTGGCTTCTCCAAGTTTTACTATCAGGGAGTTCATCCAGATCTTGCTTATGAATGCAGGGGCCACAAAACTAGGGCCATTTTATGCTGTTTTGCATATTTTCAGGTAAATATACAGGAAGCTCAATAGGAACTGGAGCATCCCGGACTCTATCCCGCACCCAAATATCTGAGGAAGAAAGGAAAGTCCACCTAAGTGTTAGGACTGTGTTGTCAATCCACAGAGCTGATGGAGTTTTGGGTCCCTTCACTGTGGCCAGACACACTCCTACCTCTTACACCCATTTTGGGAGTGAACCAGAAGATCTAAGATCTTTCTGTCTCTCCTTTGTCTCTAGCACATGGATTTTCAAATACATAAATAAACAGGTAGATTCCCAAGTAGCTGACTAGGAAAAAGATGCACAGATTATGGTCATGGGAGATTAACAACAACAACAAAAAACAGAGGAGACTGCATTCCTGGAAGACGGCTGGAGAGAAGTTTTCAGTAAAAAGTCTAGAGAAATGACTCCATGGAGTGCCAATGATACACAGGTAGGCAAGAGCTTATGGAATACCAAAAGTGATTCAAACATGTGGGTAGATTATCTCCCAAGAATGAGGTGAGAGGAGTCTACGGATTCCAAGGTTACACGGGCAATTTTGTCTGGGAGAGAGCCTAGAAGCTCCTACTGATGTTCAGCACAGGCAGATGAGTCGATGGATCAGGTGGGTACATGTATCCCTGTGATGAAGGGGTATGTTGCTTGCAGCAAGGAAAACTGTATCTTCCCAGAATAAGCTATTGTGCAATATATCCTAGAACAAATGTGTGTAGACAATAAGCTAAGTCACTGGGAAATTATTGAGCCTGACTTCAGAAGCTCAGGAATCCCTGAGTGTTTGGAATAGACATGGACATATGCAACTTAAAACTATTGAGTCATGAAGGACAAAAAAAAAAAAAACCTATGTAGACCAATAACCAAATGGAGAATGAATTAGTAATGAGATTCTCCCAAGAAAGAAAAATCCTACAGGGATGGTTTCACTGCTGAATTCTATTAAACTTTAAAAGAATAATCAATCTGAATTACTCTTAAGTCATCTGCAACAAACTGAAAGGGAAGGGATCCTTCCAAGGTACTTATATGAAAAACACTATCATCTTAATTCTAAAACCAGAAACAAAGAGTGCTAGAAACAAGCATCCCTGATAAGCATCATGCAAAATTTTTAACAGAACATTAATTAATCAAATACAACTACATAACAAAGAGATCATCCACCTGCACTAGGTAGAATTTATTCCAGGGATTCAGGAAAGGTTCAACATGAAAATCAGTAAAAATTACATGTCACATTAACAAAAGTTATGAATAGAAACCATATGATTATTTTAGCAGATGCAGAGAAAGCATATGAAAAATACAATATTTTTCCATTGTAAACATGGTAAGCAAATTATTTGCAGAAGGAAACTATTTCAACAAAGTCAAGGAAGCATATGGCACACCCACAACCTGCATCATATTGAATGCAATAGAACTGGAAGCATTTTCATTAAGACTGGAACCAGACAAGGATGCCCACTTTCATTTGTAATCAAAACAGCCTGGTTCTAGGACAAAAACAGATATGAAGATCATCGGAACAGAATAGAAACCCCATTAGTGAACCCACACACCTACAGCCAACTAATTTTTGAAAACTGAATTGAAATAAATCCAAAGCAAAAGGATGCTCTCTTCAACAAATGGTCTGGGGAAATTGGATCCATGCATCCAGAAACATGAAACAACACCCTTTCCTTACACCTAATACAAAAGTAAATTCTAAATAGATCAAAGATCTATGACTTGAAAATACCAGAAGAAAACATCAGGGGGCCTATGCAAGCCATAGGTATAGGTGGACTTCTTAGCAAAGACCCCAGAAGCACAGAATGTTAAAGCAAAGATAAATAAATAAGATTATGCCAGCATAAGAAGCTTCAGCACTGCAAGGAACACTGCAAACACGGTAAAAAGACAACCGATAGAATGCAAAAGATTTGAAAATTATGCAAGAGGTAAAGGATTAAAATCTACGATGCCTAAAGAGCTCAAGAAACTTAACAGTTATGAAACGAATATCCAGGAAGGAAACGGGCAAAGGACATGACACGCATTTTTTCAAAGGATAAAATAAATATGTCCAACAGAAACATGAAAAAAAGGCTCAGAATTTCTTATATCAGGAAAATGCAAATGAAACCCAAAGTGAGGTCTTATCGTACCCCAGTTAGAATGGCATTTCACTTTCCAGTCTCAACATATTGTATCATGTTACATCCAAATGCCCTCAGTTCTTCCTCAAAGACACAGCGATAAAGTATCCTCTCACTTCTATTAGACATCAATTAAAATAGTCACAGGGAATCACCATCTCTAACAATTGTGATTCTTGTCTTTTTCAAATAGGGCAGACCTAGCCTTTCAAACCTTAAAATTCATTCATTTTATGTCTGCTATGGTCAGTTAACCTATATATATTTTATTTTTCCTATTAAATTTATGAGGTAAACTTACAGTTTTAAGAATAATCTATTAATTCACACAGCACATCTATTCTATGTCTTCTCTGTTTATATCTATTCTACTTGCACAGTATTCAACAGACAGAACTAATTTTCTAAAGTTGACTCATAAAACAGTTTATATATTCACAAAGTTTCTAGCTATGAATTAATAGTAGGGGACTTTAAAAAGCATTTAAGGGTCAGTCAAAACAGCTTAGGAGGTAAAGTTTTGGTCTATGGTGCCAGAATCCAATATGGGTGCTGTTCCAATTCCTGATCAGCTCCCCATTAATGTGCCTCGGAAAGCAGCTTAAAATGCCTCAACTCCTTGTGCCCTGAAACCACTTAGGAGAAATGGAAGAGATTCCAGATTTCTGGCTTCAGTCGGGAACAACTATGGCCTTTGTGGTCATTGAAGAGTATACTAGCAGGTGGAAGATCTTCACCTTTTGTAAATATGCCTTTCAAATAAAAATAAATCTTTAGACAAATTATTTCAAATGGCTTTAACATGGACAGACTCATTTAAAATGTGATTTAACATTTTGAGAAATAAAGATCATTTCTTTCCCCCGCCCGAAAAAACTGAAGGATCAAAAAGTAGATAAATAATTAAGCCCATATTGTGGGAGTGCAGCTAGTTCAAATCACACTTGTTGTTTTAGACAAAAACCTAACTACGTATGTAAAGAAAATAGAGCCAGGAATTCAAGGAAAGTGGTCTGTAAACAAATAAAAATGAGCAACAATATACAGGTTATAGGATTTATCATTTCATTCTATTGACCTTATACTTTAAAATTATGTTAAAATTAACATTCTCAGAAATATTCACACATAAATTAATTTTTAAATAACAATGAAATTGAGTATTAATTATCAAAAGAAACTATAACTTTCATATTAATTCTGTAATAATCCATATTGACAATAAAAGTCCTCCCACCCATGTTACAATCAAAAGACAGCTGAAAATAATATTCTTTGGCTGACAATCAGAAATAAATTGTAGAACTTCACATAAATTAAGCACATAAATTTCAATAAAGAAATTATGAAGAAGCATTCTAATAAAAAATCTGCAAAGAAATAATTTCTTTTCACAGTGCTTTCAAATAATCTCATTTTTGTTTGTTTGTTTTTCAAGTGTTATTACATCTTGCTTTGGACTGAAGGAGTCCTGCAAGTGGTAGATGGTTTTGTAGTGGTACAAAATAGCATTTTCCTCTCATTCTCCTCACATGATGGTCATTTTTTCTCAATTTTCCTATTCCAGTGAACACAACAGAGACCCTTGTCAAATATGAATGAAAAGCCACACATTGTAGATGACAATTTAAATTAACCCAGGATTTTTTCCCTCTTTTTAATGTAACTGATTCACAACAATTTGTTCCAATTTAAAAGCCCCCCTCATTACTACAAGAAGTGTATTTCTTTCTTTGTTTGGCCATGTAATGCTGGGTATGGAGTCTCACCTTCCTCTCCATGCAGCCTCCATATGAGACTGAAGTATCTAGAATCATCATTTGCCCTGGAGGAAAAATACCCAGAAAACCATCCCTTCTTAACTACTAGGAGTCCTCTGGCTTGCCTCACGCATATGCCCTATCAAAAAAACAAAAAACAAACAAACAAAAAAACCTATTCTTTTCAGAAGAAAATCTCATTTGAGTGTTCTACCACTTGGTCTTCATGAGGACACATGTGAGGCACAATGCACTTCTCCTTTTATCTGAGTTAAGTAAGACATTTTTGAGTGGTTCCCGGTAAGCTATATCATCTGGAATGCCTCTGGATTTATTATTCCTTTCTCTACAATTTTTGGTTGTGAACCAAAAGAATGTCTTGATACATTTCTTAACATTTGAAAAAATTATAAACTTGGTTGAAATGCTTGGTAAAAGTGCACAGAGAAAGAGTAGATATAAATACAAATAAGGCTTCCTTAGGAAAACAAATATGCACATATCATGCATAATCAAGCTACCAAAAGCCTAGAGGTAACTCAGCTTCCACTTTCAATTTACAGTTATATGTTTTTTATATCACTATCTATGTCATGGGTAATAAGAAGGAAGTATTTAACTGTTATATAATATGTATAGCCTTCTGCAAGTTAAAACTCTGTTCTTAAGAACACAATGGTTTTAAGCAAATACAAAGAACATAAGACTATCTGAAGCATATCAGAAATATATTATACTATTACATTGATAAGTCCAACAACTCATTTTCAATAAGTGATTGGGGAATTTTCAACACACCAGAACTTCCCCAGCCACTTAGGTCTCAAAAACCATGGGAATGACTTAACCAAATGTATATTTATGATTATACAAGAGAAAATTAGTTGCAGTTATGGTATGTGAGAAATAGACTAAGACACAAAGCAACATTTATTTTCATTCCTAAAATGCAGTTAAAACAAATTTAGCATTTACCTTCTCTGTTTAAAAAGCCACTGGACATTTCAGCACTGCACACAGCTCATGATTCAACTTTCTCATAGCACACTTCACGTCCTACAAATAAAAATGGAAGAATATTCAGAGCAATGTATGTATTTGTAAAATATAGTGATTATCCATGAAGTTCTCATTACATCACTTCACAATCCCAATTAAAAAGTATCACCAGTATATTCAAGTTTTCATGACTTTAACAAATGCACAATATAGCATTGGAAATTATGTCTGGGACTTCTAAGACACCAAAAATAGACTCCAGATTATGAAGCACTACAAAAAAAAATCACACCTCTCAAATGCATATTATGATAATGGAAAACACGGCTGTAATAAGAAAACAAAGGCATTTGCATTTAAAATGTTTTCTCAAATATGCATGACCACAAAAAATGTTATCTAGTTCTTAAACTAAGTTTTAAGACAACAGTGTTTTGGTTTACTGTTCAATTTGTTTCAATGGCTACTTTAGATTTTAGTAAATATTACTTTGCACCATTTCCATTTAATAATTTTTAATATCTTCTCTAGAAAAATTATAGAACACAAATAAAAATCATTGGTTTTTTGCCAATGATTTTTATTTGTAAAATAATGTACAAGACACACAAAAATTACATAAAATCTGATAATCTGTTTCAGTTATCTGTGAGACTTTTTTAAAATTAAAATTAATTCTATCCTAATTTCCAAAAGAGAAAAAAAATTCTAAGCAAGATATATGACTACTTGGCTTCTACTTCTAGTCACTTCTGTATGTTCACTACACAAACATACCATTTAGGAAGAACAACAAAAAAAAATTGAATTGCTCTCTTACATGCCAAGCACCTGATACAAGTATTGCAAAATTCAAAAACGTGAAACAATCAGCACCCTGGACAACGTCTTAACTTCCAGTCCTGCTTGTGCTGGCTTTCTGCATGTTTCTAACTCTTAGTCTTTGAAAGAAAGTATAAGCCATCTAACTCCTTGTTTATGCCCTGGGAAAGCAGTGCAGAATGGCCCAAAGCGTTAGGACCCTGACCTGGTATGGCAGACCAGAAAGAAGCTCCTGGCCCCTCCCTGGAGTAGGATTGGCTCAGTTATATTCATAATGGCCATTTGGGGAATGTACTAACAGGTGGAAATTCTTTGCTTCTTCTTCTTGGGGGGTGGAGGGAGATGCCTCTCAAAAATAGATGTAAGTTTTTTTAAAAAATCCATATTTTTCAGAGGTAAAAAGAGAAATGTAAGAAAAATAACTTTCAAAAGAAGCAATAGATACGTTTTATTGGTGCTAGGACAAGAGTCACAGCAGAATATGAGGAAATATTCTGTCAACATTTCGTTGATGCACAAACATTGAAGTATAGTGTTTAGAATAATAAACAGGTGATTCAATAAAAGTGTATTTATGAGCATCCAATACAAAGAACATACTGCATGTCAGGTGTAAACATCTTTCTATACTCTTAAAATAGACAATAAAAACCACGCCCAAAGCAGAGACTATATCCCACAAAATAATGAAAGTTGATGTTTAAGTTGTAATCCTCTTGCAGTAATCCAAAGAGTAATTAATCAGCAGGAGGGTTGATAAATATGCTATAATAGTAACATTAGGGAGAGTGCTACTATTTTATTAATTTAACTTTTATCTAATTTAAAGAGAAAGAGACAGAAACATATCTTTAACAGCCTGTTTCATTTCTCTATAGCCCATTTCATTTCTTAAATTGCAGCAACAGAGAGGGCTCCTCCAAACTGAAGTCATGATCTGAGGATTCCGTCTAGCGATTGAAAAGATCCAAGTGTCCGCGGGATCATCTGCTGCCTCCCAGCATTTATGTTAACAGGCAGCAGGAGTGAAGAGTGCAGGCAAGCTTTGCGAGACTGGAAGAACGCAGCCAACATGTTGGCTTCACGGCTATGACAAATGCCTTCTCCAGGATGAATTTTCAACCACAGTCAGGGTTGTCTTAGCCACTATTCAAACAAAAATGGTCCCAACTACAAAGTACAGATATGCAAATGCAATTTAGAAGCTAGTTTTAATTGTTGTCTTATTTCATTTTGCAGATGTTTTTAATATCTGTTAGAATAAGCAACACTTCAAATATGCCTGATGGCAATTTATGGATATTTGAAAAAAAAAGGAAAAGTTAGTTATACTAGAACTTCAAGGTCATTTGAAGTTTCAAAGACAAAAGTGTCCACAGATAGGAGAGAATTTATGTCTCAGTTTGGGAAGTTAATCAGAGGAAATTTTAAGAGTATTACTTTTAAATAAAAGGCCAAACACTCTGACATTCTTCTCTTTTTCCACAACCTTTAGAAGAGATTTGCCTGCTTTAGTTCAAGATTGAAGAAAGGGGAGAAGATATATCAGAAAAAGATTATCACATATGGGATCTTGCTTGTAAAAGAAAAAGAATCCCCACGTTTATTTAAATGATTTGCCATGACTGATTCTTGTATACTATAGTTTATGCCATTAGCCTAGATTCTATCAAGGTGCACGTGTTAAGCAGTAAATTTCTGGATGATCCTGGAAGATTGACAAGCTAAGGAACACAAACCGAAATTGTCTGCTGCCTCTGACCTGGATTGCACGCACTTTTCAAAGGGTTGGATTTTAGCCTAGAGAAATGGCTGACCTGAACATTGGGGAGAGAGCCTATCATATGCTGAAAAGATCAAATACCCAACTGCAACTTGAAGTCTGTGTCTTATTTCATTTAAATACATATATTTGATATTTTTAACCAATATATATTTCTTTTAGTCACAGAAGGATACAAGAAAAAAGCGGGTCTACTAAGATGCTTAGTGATTTACAATCACTGTTTCATTCCAGCATCTCAATAAAGCACTTGAAATAGGAAGCACCACCCTGCTTTACAAACACAATGTTAGTGAGAACAAATATCAAATTGATTAACTAGGGCTGGATGGTTTCACAGTTTTATCATCAATATTTCATATCTCTAAAAGTGAAGCTCTGGATAAAAAAAAAGGTTTCTGATTATATTCTTTGGCATTTTTTGAAAAGGTTGTCAACATGTAATATATTCTGCTTTCTAAATTGATATTAAAGTCTATACTTACACTCCAATTTATGAAAAAGTAAAATATTTTAAGCAAGGTGTTTTGGCTAAAAACACTAGCCAATGCAATGAATATTATATTTCTACCAAACTGATACACAAAGGAAACATTCATGGAAACATGTTTATTATCATCATTTTTCCTTGAAGATAGGAAAAAGGAATATAGAATTCACTACACTTTAACATCATACAAAAAAAAAAGCTAGGCTAAACCTCAGAATCAAATTACATCATCTGTAATTTTAATACGGCAAATTAGACAAATCATTAACTAGAACAGCAGAGAGAAGACAGGAACATAAGAAATTATATTCACTGAATAATTTTAGCTATGGAAATATCTAACTTTTAATATTAGACATAACCTCTCAAGTTTTAAAAACAACAACAAAAAGAGATGGTACTGTATGATGAAATCTCTCAACAGATTTCTCTTACAACACATCGTAGGAAACCCTGCCAACAGAGAATTTTGTACTTTATGTTATATCCAATTTTAGCATGAAAAGACATTGCCTGATTCCTTAACAGAGTAAAAAAGAACAAAAGAAGGAATTTTTTTCCTGCTTTATCGTAAGTTGACTGGCTTTAAGCTGCTTTGTGTAGTGGGCTCCCAACAGTAAGGAGACTGCAATGGAATGCTCTGGTGGCATACATTTTCTTTTGTTCTTGCTTTCTTAGAGATGAACGTCGTAGGGATATCATCATTTTTATTTGCCTTAATCTTTCAACACCCAAGAGTGAAAGCAATACTCTCAAGTTCAAACTTTTCATGTATTTAAACTTTTTAAAAATTGGGATTCCACTACAGAAATTAGTTTTTGAAGTGTACTTCATACTCTGCTTCATCTTAAAACATATCTTTAAAAAATAGGCCTCTTGGACCTGGTGTGACAGTGAAGTGGTTAAGGTCAATGCCTTGAATGAGCAGCGATCCCATATGGGCACCAGTTCTAATCCCAGGGGCCCCGCTTCCCATCCAGCTCCCTGCCTGTGGCCTGGGAAAGCAGTCAAGGATGGCCCAAGACTTTGGGACCCTGCACCCGCATGGGAGACCTGGAGGAAGTTCTTGGCTTTGGATTGGCTCAGCTCCAGCCGTTGCGGCCTCTTGGGGAGTGAATCATTGTATAGAAGATCTTCTCTGTCTTTCCTCTCTGCATATCCACCTTTCCAATAAAAATAAATAAAATCTTTAAAAAAAAATAGACCTCTTAAAATGATATGCACATGCAAACACTTGATAAATATTCCTTGCACACATTAAAATGATAATATTGACTGAATGCTTTCCACATTCATTAATTCCCATGTTTCAAACACAGTATTTTTATATAAGTGGAAAGCATGAAGGGGCACAAGATGTAAGATAAATGCAGGTGCTGAGATATTAATTAAGAAAATTAAAAAGCCAGGATTTGAAACTGAGCTAGTAACAACTATTACAGTAAGTGTGAATTAAAAGTACTAATAATGGCATTTTAATAAGAAAGCAAAATGTTCCTTAACCATATTAAAAATAATACATGGAGCTGTCATGGTAGATCAACAGATTAATCCTCCACCTGCCAGCATGGGTATACCATACAGGTACCAGTTCTAAGTTCTGGTTATTCCACTTCTTATCCAGCTCCCTGCTTGTGGAAAAGTAGAAGAGGATGGCCCAAAGCCTTGGGAAGCTGTACTGGTGTGGGAGACCCAGAAGAGGCTCCTGCCTCCTGGCCTTGAATCCCCTCAGCTCTGGCCGTTGCAGATCTGAGGAGTGAACCACTGGATGGAAAATCTTTCTATGTTTACTCATCTCTGTATATCTGACTTTGCAATAAAAATAAATTTTCCTTAAAAAAATATTCTGCCCTTCAGATCCAAGTAAATACATTTTTAAAAAGAAAAAGAAAGGTTTTGGGGGAATGGGACCTTTAACTCAAATATTCACATTTGTTGTAAAGTTTAATAAAAAATAAAATC